AACTCCTCTACTTTCATAAAACGTTGCCTCACAAGTGTAACTTGAACTGAAAACAAAACAAAACCCCAAGCAAGAAAAAATGAACAAAAGAGAAACTCCCCAGTGGGGCCAAAGCCATGCTCATTCCTTAGCGAACCAGCCCTTCAGATCTCAGACTTTATCCCAACGAGCCCTTGATGTTCTCTGTGCTAATTTATAAAGCGCCCCTCCGCCCCCTTTGAAGTACATGCCTGCTGCAGTGGGGTTCAGTAGCATTGAATAAAACGTTCAGTAGCATTGAATAAAGCTTATTTGAACAGTTCAAGAATGCAGGAACAAGACAGGCCTTTGCAGATTGCAGCAACCTGGGAGGGGCTGCACAAACATCGACAGCAAGACGAGAATTCAAGTGATCTTGACAAACTGGAAAAACAATCTGAAAAAAGAAATTTCGCACAGACAGCTAGGAATGACTATGCAGAAAGAAACTGTGCAAGTCCAAGACAGGGAACATTGTGGCACACAGCTGATCTACGGAAAAGGGTTTGGGGCACATCACGTGTCACAGGCTGCCCATAAGTCAATGATACCACGTTATGTTATGTTTATGTTATGTTATGTTTATGTCATGTCATGTCATGTGAGGACAGGACTCTTGCCTATATCTGATCTCATATTCAGAAATAAGAACAAGAGTGTTGCCTGCAAATACCCAAGGTAATCTCCCATTAGTCACTCAGCCAAGGCCTTAGGGGTCAGTTCAAGGAACTCCAGATCAACTAGGGGGTAAGAAGAATCAGTGATCAAGAGATACTAATTAATATAATTAAGATTTGAAACTGTCTTCAGACAACCTAAAAGGTGCCTGCAAAGAGAGAGGAAATAAATTGTTTTTTCTGTCCCTTGTGGGCGAACATTAAAATTACAAAACACTTCTGGTGGAGGTGATTTCTCTGCGGCAGATTGTCTGGGAGATCAGAGGATTTGAATAACAGATTAAAACCACTTTGGCCAGGAAGATGCTTCCAAGGCTTGTGCCAGAAGACAGATGCATATAACATCTGGACTTTCACCTGCAGAGCTGTGTGCAGGATCGCAGTTCCTCTTGTGCATGCCACAGTGGACAAGATGCCCAGAAAGTCATGTCCACCTCTACTTGGAGAAAATATTTAAGGAAAAAGGACTTACTGGGGCTTCCCGTCTGATTTCCAGGACTGGCTGCAGCTGTATGGATTCGGCAAGGTCTAAGGTCCCCGTTAGGATGTAGAACGGTGTGTAACGCAGCAGGACAGGGCAGCTCCCAAAGCCATCGGTGCTGCGGCAAAGGTCAGGGCCAGCCCCCCTGCCTGCTCTCTGATACCAGCTGGTTCTCCCCAGGTGGGACAGGTATGTGCACCAGGGAATCCAAAGCATCCTGGAGACACCTGGGTGCTAGATTTGGTTTGACAGTGTCTAGAAATGAAAAGGAACCCAGCTGACTGCTGGGTTGGAAGAAGATACAGGGAAGGTCAGGGATTCATTCAACCCTTTGCATTTCCATCTTATCTGCTTAATAATAGTAATGATGGTCCAAGAGCTGATAAATCTGTGGCAGGTTCTCAGGATTTGTTCTGTTGTAGTAGTTTCAGACCCCCTTGGACACATCCTTGTCTTTGTTCATTTGTTTGTGTGTTTTCTTTGTGCAGAAGGTAAAAGCTGACTTTGTTGTTAATATGCTATTCCAATGCAAGATTTTATTGGCTTTGTATTGAGCTGCTGCTTCACCTAGAAAAGCACTGCCATACCACAGAAAGCAATGCAAAAAAAAAAAAAAAAAAAAAAAAAAAAAAAGAAAGAAAAAGATAAAAATCCAGCTGCTTTTCCATTCTGCTTCTGGAACATACTCTTTAAAAGCTGACTTTGAAGAGATCATGTTACTCTAAATAAAGCTCGAATAGGCTACTTACTGTTCTGTGCCACTGGTATTCCCCTTTCTTAGACGTTGCCAGCAGAAATAACAAGCAGCTTAAACAGGGCTCCCCCTTGAAACTGTCAACAGCTTGAGTTTCCCATTTAAAGGCTCTGGCATCAGGGCACTTTGAAGCAAGGTACTGTTAGTAGCAAAGTAGAGTTAATACAAAATGAGAAAAGCCTGCGGGGAGGGGAGAAGTCTCTTCTGCAGGGTGAAGCACAGCAGCAATGTATAAGACCGAGATCCAGTGCTCTGCCAAGCCCCATGGGCAGCAGGCTACTGATTTGTGGCCTTGACCATCAGAGGTGGGGTCTCATCCCCGCGCTTGCAGCTGAGCCAGGGGGGCAGCGGTTAGCACAGAGCCCACATCCGCTGGCGCAGCCCTTTCTCTCTTCTCTGGGACAACACTGGGTGGAGGAGTCTGGTTATAAAATCACAGAATGGTGTGGGTTGGAAGGGACCTTTAAAGATCATCCAGTCCAAGCCCCCTGGCATGGGCAGGGACACCTTTCACTAGATCAGGTTGCTCAAAGCCCCATCCGACCTGGCCTTCAACACTTCCAGGGATGGGGCATCCACAGTTTCTCTGGGCAACCTGTTCCAGTGCCTCACCACCCTTATCATAAAAAATTTCTTCCGTCTATGTAATCTAAATCTACCCTTTTCTAGTTTAAATGGTTACTCCTTGTTCTACCACTACAGGCCCTGGTAAAAAGTCTCACTCCATCATCCTAAGCCCTTTTTATGTGTTGAAAGGCCAGAATAAGATCTGCCCAGAGCCTTCTCCAGGCTAAACAACCCCAACTCTCCCAACCTTTCTTCATAGGAGGGGTGTTACAGGCATTTCACCCCTATTAAAAGGAGGCACCCCCTCCAAAGCCCTCACGACATCAGCTCCGCAGGTTTTCCGACAGCCAGGATGCCTGACCCAGAAAGCGAGACATCCCCCGGACAGCCTCCCTGAACAACTCCGGGGCTATTGATGCTCTGCAGGAAGGATGCTCTGCCCAACACCCCCCACCACCACCACCACCACCTTCCCAGCCTCCAAAATTTCTTTCTGCCTTTACTTCTGGTTAATTCTTCAGATGTAGCTGCAAAAAAGAAGGGAAAGG